ACCACCCGACCAGACAGACTCGGAAAACAAATCCCCCTCATTGTTTTCATCACAATCAGGATTTCAAGTACCCTTGTAGAGGGTCACGTGATTGCCCGAAAAACACAAGGCGCTATATCTCGGAAACGAAAGCAGCACAAACGTTACTTACAGCGACACAAACCGGCACAAATACTGCACTAACGATTGCGGTGGGTTTCGTCGTTTGTGCTGTTCGACGGGCGGGTGGGCAACTTCATAGAGCAGGGCAAGCAAAGAGGTTTGGGTCATTACACTGCAGACTGCAGAAGACTCGACTTCTCCCGAGGATCTAACACAGGCGCCCACACCTGTGTCTTCAGAGGGCAGGTGTGCCCTCCCGCTGTATTCTACACCAAGGACCGGCCGGAAACACAAAGATAAGAGGACTGTGAGCTCATCGCTTCATGTTAGCGTATAAGACCACTGTAAGTACATACACACGGATAATGAGTTTATTAAAGAACTCAGATATACGTTCACTTCTGTTATGTGAAAATAAAAAATATGTTTCCAATATTCCCGCGGTCCTCAGGTGTGAGACGATGGACTTTCCAGTGTTGCTTCTCGGATGTATTATTTACTACACGCAACAACCTTGTATGCAGTGCCCCTTAAAAAACACCCTGGTTCTTTTTCACGTTGACGAATGGGCTTTGCATAAAAAGTGCAACAGTGGTCTTGTTCGTAAAGTTGCAGATTCAAGCCCTTTTGAACTCGTGGCTCGACTGACGGGCCGAATCTTTACACGTCCCTTGGTGCGCGTGTTTATTTAAGAAGAGACAGTGAGAAACTGATCACTTCTTCAGGTTTTTAATTCGCTTTTCGAGACTACACCCGCAACTCTTCTGATTAGTGTATGTGATATTCGTGTCAAATTTAATTTTCCTGCTCACACAAATGTTATCCTGGGGAAAATGTGTCCTAATAATATAATATAATATAATATAATATAATATAATATAATATAATATAATATAATATAATATATTCGTCGTCAGCTACTAGTGAAAACAAAACTCACATCTGTGTGGATGTGTGTCTGTGTTTGTGTCTGTGTGTGCCCTGCAATGGACTAGCGTCCTGTCCAGGGTGTACCCTGCCTTGTGCCCATTGCTTACCAAGATAGACTCCAGCTCCGCCGCAACCCTTAATTGCAAAAAGCAGAATATGGATGGATGAACAAACTCACATGTATGCATTACTCCAGTAGCTCTGCCTACTACTTTCCCGAATCTGAGATGAGGCAATTTTCCTCATTTCAGGGAAACCTGTAATATTTGGATTGTTAAAAAAGTAACACGAGGGAGATTACAAAAAAAAAAACAGCAACGTGTATCCTACTTCAGTGCACCACAGAGCAGCAGCTGTTTCAAGTCTTTTTATGAGTGATAAACTCAGATCTGAGTCATGATGCTCACGGCTGTTGACAGTTATTTTCCTCTGAGCAGATGCTTGGAGTTTTCAAGCTCTCCCTGTTTCATAACCTTCACCCTGACAATCCTGGCTGCTCTGCTTTCTGAAATACTGATGGGGGGCAATGATGACTCAGCCAAACTGTAACTTCATGCAAGATTTTAGCAACATCCAGGCGCAGGTCCAGGATTATTTAGGAATGACCTTTGCAGAATGTTTCCCTTCTCGCAATTTCTCAGCGGTTGCACGACAGTAAAACAGATATATTGCGGTCACACTGCAAAACAATTTCTTCTCAAGACGGCCTGATCCATGATCTTTTGGGAGAAAAAAAAAAACACAAGCTGAAAAGGGAGCATGTTTTTGGAAACATTTAGTAAAATCCTCATGACATAAAATTCACATATACGTTCTGATGTCAAGAGGGTGTCTAATGTCAGCTTACTAGTCTTTGTGATCACACTAAGTAATTTTGCACATTTGTTCAAGGCTTGGATTCTCAGTGTTATTACTGCCATAGCATGAATAAACAAATGGTGCTTTAAGTGTTGAAAACGTTAGTGCATCTATTATTGATTCTACTGTACACAGCAGCAAAGGGAACTGCAACACAGTATCAGTCAGTATCTGGTCAGTAAAAACCAGAGGCTTTCGTTCTACAAGAATGCTGCCCCTAAAAAACAATGAAGAGTTGTGTACTGTATGTGTAAGAGAGAGTATCTTAACAACTTACCTGAGTGGCTAATTCTAATTGACTGATTGCTCAACCAATGAGAAGGAAGCATGCACCTACATATCAGTCAATCATCCAATCACATATTCTGAACAATACCTACATTAACTTCATAGGCATGCATGCCCCAGTTTGCTATATATTGCTACAGTACATATCTGGTGCTAACATCCAGATGTTTCTTCAAATAAGCCAGGTTACCAACAACATGGCTGGGTAGAATTATCAGCGGTAGCAATCGTTACATGCATTTTTCACACATATGAAAAGAGTAAATTATCTCCGACTTTTTTGTTTCTTGTATCATTTCTGTCACATTGAACTCTGAACAACATGTGTGGGGTTTTCGCTGCCTATGAGAGCACTTCTGAAACAACCCAGGAATGATATTTATTCAGTGCTTTGCTTTAGTGTGGCACATTCCCTGTATTCTGGTAAAAGATTTGTCAGATCAATAGCAATCCAATCAGTAGCTGGCAAATGTGTAGATCACATGCAACAATCCTGAAATGCAGAAATAGATGATTCTGACATTAAAGCCTAGTGAAGTAGGTAATGCAGATTTGAAATATTAAAGTTAAGATTATTTCGTACAAGTAATTAAAGTATGTATTTGTGTTTGTTCAGGAAACTAGTCTTACTAACATACTGTATTTCACATACATTCCTGGTCTTAAAAGCTAAAACAACTGAACCTTTTTACATTTTTTTTAAATTTAATTTTGCAGATCTATCAAAATGCAGCAGAATTGAACTTTAATTCTCTAAAGTCCTGCACAGAGAAGACTACAAGGGGACTTGACACAAGCATTCAAAGTCCTGACAGGCTCTGAGAAAGTCAACCCAGAGAACTTCTCCAGAATCAGCAGTGAAAGATAAGTGAGTTGAATCTATAAGCAAGTGTATTTAGAACAGAGAACAGGAGCCACTTCTTGGACTAAGAAAGCAGGCTATGAAACACGCTACCCAGCCATGCTGTTTAAGCCAGTACTCTGGATTGTCAAAAGAAGTGGCTTAATAAGATCTTCACTTCAATTATCCATGAATTACCAAAAAGTAACCACATGCTTTCCTCTTATCTGTAGCTGTTCTTTTGTTCTAACTATCAATTTATTTGGATGCTACTTTTTTTCATCTTACATATTAATATTACTTATGTTATAACACATGCTGTACACTTTTCTACATATAACTGATACAGGTGGGTTTGCTTTAGCAGCCTGTGAACATGTGAGCATGCTGCTCGTCTGGGATTTGAACCCGCAGCCCCTCAGTCCTCAGGCCTACACAGTGCTCCACACAAGGGTATTAGTGGATGGGAAGGAAAATTTACAGAGAGCTGTAGCAGTAGACCTGCCCGTAAACAAAAATGACATCAAATGAAACAAATGACAAAATGGTGAAAGTATTAAGAGTTTCTTGGAGTCGTGGCAATAAGTGCTTTGGAAAAACAGCTTTAAAAATGAAATGTTACACCGGAAGAGAGATTTTTTTTGACCAGACTAAATGACTGTTTGCCAGGTTGCCTCTTTCCCTATTGCCTTATACGCAAAGGGTAGAGAAAGAAAAATCTTGGGTTGTTTTCCGAATGTTACTCTTTCCTTTCCCCAGCTTTCAGCAACGTTGTCTTTCGGATTTAATTTTGCAGTTCTATCAAGATGCAGCAGAATTTAACTTTAATTCTCTAAAGTCTCATGATTCATTTATGTCATACCTGCCTTTTACAGAATAATTTTCAAAGCCCTTTGGGGTTTCTATCGTATGCAATGCTGCTAAAAACAGCATAAACTAAAAATGCAAATGATAGACTGTATCCCATTCTCCATCCATGGGGACCCACTTGGATGCTCCCTGCAAAGAGCAAGATGGAAGAATGCTGGCTGTGGGTTCAAAGCTGTGCATGTAGTGAATAACAGATATGTAAGAGTATTTTCAACGCAATGCATAACTGACACTCTTTCAAATTAAAGAAAGTCAATCAATCAGTATCCTTATCTTCTGCACAGACACTGGAACTTCAGAAATTAGCTCATTTATTTTGCACAATTAGGTTTATTGAAGTGTGACAGAGAAATTTAGTATTCACTCAGGCATGAGCTGAGCAACAATGGAGGGCTGCAATTGACTAAGTGAGGCGTTTAGCCCCGTAGTATTTATTTATCAGTGTAACCAGTGTGTTATGTTTATCTCATTAAACAAATTCCAGATTTTATTATCAGGCTGCATTTGTAAGTCAACTGTGATCATTAGATCACAAGGATTAAAAGGGACTTGATTTCTGTGCAATAAGCAGAATGGTTACTTTCCAAACTTTTTCGGAAATAAGCTTTAGGCTTGTCTAGATAAGAGGTGCACGATTCCAGTCTTGGTGGGCTGTGATTCCCCCAAGACCAGAGCATACCTGGTCTAGAAGGAAAAGGCTAGGCCCTCTATTCTAGGTTGATGGTCCTAATGAATGCCATAAAGCACCAGCTGTTCATTAGTAACAGTAATTTGTAGGAGCAATAGACACTTACAAGCTACATTTCCTGTGGGAAAGATTCACTGTTACGTATTTGTCACCTCTGTAAGAGCAGCGTAGCCGCCTCTTAAAAAGTAACCAGCCACAACTGTGAAGGTCAGGCAAGTCACAATCTAAATGCCATTTACCTTAAAGACAACGAGGTGAACGGAGGCAGAAACAAGGATTTCAATGCTCTGACTGCTGTATTAATGTGATTTGTGTTCCGTTAGGGACTAACCAGTCTAGTCAATCTGTAATGCACTCTCGCAAGGACATACAGTACAGTCAGTTTTCTGGTTGAATTCCTGGGCCTCCCCCAACAAAGCAGTAACCTTGTTCTGGCACACTCGCTGGCCCTCATCTCACACGCCTTCAGAACAGTATTGCACCCTCAGCGTAGCTTTGTCAAGAGGCACACAACATTCCGAGAGACCTATTGCTTAAAGTAAAGGCTGAGAAGTTGCCGTCCACTGAAAGATAACAAACTGGTTATGCACGGAACCAAGAGGCAGAAAACATAGCCACCACCTACACCAGTCACACAGGGATTTAATAAAAAACGATTGGCCAATTCAACTACAGTTTAAGTGACGGAGTGAAAATGTGAAAATAGTACTTTATTAATACAGGGAAAATAAAGGGGGTTGGGTCCATTACAAGAGAATTGGTAATTGAATAGGAAGGAAATATGGAAAAATAACTGTTGACTCAAAATTTATAAAAAAAGCATAAATTGTTCTGCCACATGGGGATTATTAAACTTCCTTTCTATTTAAAAAAGCAACATACTTAAAAGGCACAAATGGAAATAAAGTAATTAATGAAATTGCCCTCAAATGGAATTACGGTAACTTTTAAATGAAGCATTAACACCTTTGTGAATTACACCTGAGACAGTTCCAGACGCAGTCGTGCATGTCCTGGCCATGAAATTGCTTCCACTATGCTTAGGAATTTGCCTGGAAAGTAAAAAAGTACAAAGATGAGCCAGGAAAGTTTTCTGGACAGATGGGACCAAGATAAACATTTACCAAAGTGATGGAAAGGTTAAGGTCCAGAGAAAACAACAGCCAAAGCACACCACATTTTTACCACTGAAACTTTTCCCTCTAAATCCCTCTTTTTTCTTTTATACAGCAAACAAGACTTCAATGTCCCACAGGTCCTCAAACAAAAGACCCTGAGAAGAAACAAACACCCTTCCATTTGCCTACCTGAAAATGTGATTTCCTTCCAGAAGGAAGAAGAAGCTACAGTCAGGATCACAGTGGGTAGAGGTTTCTTAAAACTTTAAAGCCCAAATCTACTCCCTCTCAAAACCCTGCCCCATATTTTTCACACTAATAATGATGGCAGCAGAATGGATTCCGACATTTACAGAAACATTTGTTCTGCTTATGTAGAGTTGAAAATATGTGAATGTATGAAAATCATTCCATGCTTATTGACTGATGCTGCTCCATGCAGTATTACAGAGACCTGAAACACAGAGCTAATGCATGCAAGAGGTTTATCGGGGTAGAAAAATTGAAAACCTTTGACTGGACAACAATTTTACAGGCATAAATAAAAAAAAAAGTCTGAACACCGAAAGGACAGGCAAGAACTCAAAGGAGCTCCAATGATTATTATACATTACAAAGACTTTGGTGATATCAACTGGTCTTGGTCCTCATGCAGTCCCATTTTGAGAGGTCAGTGAATACAGGTTTGTAATGTACAATGTCCCGGTTTTGTAAATAATTTGTAGATAATTGTTGGGATATCTTGGATTATGTGTTTAGTCTGTTGTTACCCTAAATAAATCTTTGTCCGTTCATTTTTTCTCCTGTTTATTACACTGTCACGGAATGTGACAGAGACAAAGTACCCGTGTGATGGCACTCATGATAATTCCTGATATTAGTGGAAATGCCATTATCTTTTATATTTTTTCTTGCTAGGCAAGCTGATGTCAGGACAAGATTTTTTATGTGTTTTTGCCATCTTTGTTTGATTTACATTACACTGTCCCCAAAAACCATTACCATATTTATGTTTGTTATTCATTTTGTTGCAGTAATTTATATAAAAAAGTGGCCAATTGGCTTTTGGGTAGTACACTGTATGCATAACTTAATTCACAATGACCTTTGTGAACGAACTGATAATTGATCAGCTTTCTACTCAGTGGCAGGAACAGGGAACTGCTACAGTATGATTTTACTGCACACAATCATTTTGTTTCTAATTATTCCTCTCAGCAATGATATTAAAATCCTGTCCTGTTTCAAAGCGCTCTGGTGAATTATGGGGTCACTAGTTGGTCTGATGCTGAAGTGCATTGTCAAATATCAAGGCAGCATCAGTCCTTGGTCAGTTACCACCTCATTAATCTACCTTTAAGTCTTAGCTTTTTAGTCAGGATTCAAACATCACTGACACTCAAGGTATTATCACAACACCCTCACTTATTATTTTCCAATTAAACTGTTTTCTGTTCTTATGACCTAAACTGATTTCAGCTCTTCATCATCCAACAGCCTGCTGTAAAGCTGTCAGAGCCTTGGGGTGCTTGAAGTCAGAACACTTCACATGACGCACAGTATAATAACGAAAGCAGGAAAAACGTACAGTACCATGCCCTTCTCTGCTCTGAGACATTTTCCCAGTCAGCAATTAAAGCGAAGTAGAAAAAGTGACTTGATTACACAAAACGCAAGACAAATTCTTACTTTTTTTACATCACACTGATAATAATAATAATGATGATGCGAGGAAGAGGGGGAGAGAGGTTTACTGAGGTAATAATGGCTTTTCAGGAAGTGATGTCATGGAGCAGATTACAGGTTTGAGCAGGGGAAGTGAAGAAGAACCTACAGTCTCTAGATGGTAGGGAAAAACCTACCATCTCTCCTGAACTTTCACGGCTGGATTTAAAAAAGCACTTTCTTTACATTTTACACTACTTAAAAAAAAAGCATTTTAGAAAGTTAAAACAAATGAATGCCGCACAATGAAGCACAATGCCTTTCAACAGCAGAAGAGTAAAAGATGAAGTCTAAAATACAGAGAAGGAGAAAAACAATGACGTTAATGAGAGTCCCATGACTTGTGGATCACATGGACAAGAAAGCAGAACAGGATTCTCTGTAAGCAAAAATCATTTGCATTTTTTTAAATAAGCGACAAACAACCCCGTTCTTACCCACAAACACTAGGAATTTATCAAATAAATGTAAGAATATAAGCAAGTGTATCTACTCACATTCAGTATATGGTTATCGTCTTTCTTTTTTATGGCTCATTATTCCTAAAGAATGATGTACTTCTGGCAGCCCATTAAAACGTATTCTCTGGACATTTTTTTCTCTTGTTAAGATGTCTTTCCACCTCACCTCCCCTACCAATACTGCACAATAATTGGGAGGGAGACAAGATTGTACTGAAGTGCATCACTGCAATATTCTTCAGTATTTACCCAACTACTGTTATTAGAATTTAAACTTTTAGATTTAATTTCTGTGCCACTGTCTAAATAATTAATCAGACGATAAAGCTATTTTTTAATCAAGCTTTCTGAAGGAAGGGAATAATTTGCTTGGAGTTTATATATACACGGCCCTGTTTTGAATCCACAGGGACAAAAATAGGAAACAGAGGAGGCCATTTATCAAACGATAAATATTTAAGATGCAATTTTAATAAGTAATATTACTCTCCGCATAAAAGAGATGTTTGTTATGCCTCACTCCTCATTAGAAATGCGTACACATTTTCCTTTGGCGCCATCAGCATCTCTTCAATATTAATGCTTATGCAGACAGATAACTGATTGCTTAACTAAATGTGTATATCCCTCGCTTCTTCTTCTTGTTGTTATTAATAATGTGCCTCCTGCTTAAATTTAATTTGCAGCCATAGTAGAGTAGAGAAAACATACTGCATGTGTCTATCTAGTCTCCCCAGTTCTGAGATTATTTGTCTAGGATACTGATGGATTGTGTTTTTGAACAATTGCAAGGATCAGAGTTTTAGGACCAGTGCAACCAAAAGGAATTCATTTTGCTTTCTATGGTAAAAAAAATGATATGTTGTACATTCTGTACAGTACATAAAAGCAACATAATTTTGAAAAGTTCTTAACAATCTTAAATCTTAACCTTTTTGTTGCAAGGCCAATCCTAATAGCTTTCAGTTGAAGATCCTGTGTTATTATATTAAATGATTTCTCATGAAGTGAATGAAAAAAAGGTATTAACAGAAGTAACACTGTACAATTGGATGATCACGGAATGAACTGATGAGATCAGAGGGAAACTTTTATTTGGTGCAGTAGTCTGGGGCCCTTTAAATTAAGGAATGGTGTCTTTGCAGCGGGTAGATCAGTGGAATTCTTGGAAAAGCCCCAGTTTTGAATTTGACTTGAAATTGTGATTGTGATCAGGACAAGGTCATTAAGAGGAAACACGAATCGGAAAATATATAGCTACTCCCCTTATTGTTGAGAACAAAAGATTTGCAAGCAACAAGAAGACCTTGTTCCTAAAAGTAAAGACAAAAGGACATAAATGCTCAGCATGTAATAACTACAATCAGAAGTCACAGGGTTGAGATGAGTTTTAAGGGCATAATAGTGTAACGCAATGGGGGCTCAGGCGGGCGCCCTTGCCGCATTAGGTCGGCCCCCCCACCGTCAGGGGCTTGAACCCGGGACTCCCACATTACTCTGCAGCAACCCAGCCCGGTGAGCCAAAGAGAGAACTCTCTACAGCCCAGTAGCTGTAGTCCTGCTATCACAGGGAAGGGCGGCGACGTCACCTGCTCTGGTACGCCGGCTCTTACACAGTGCCTGTCGGCCGTAAGCGTTAGAATAGTTTCATATCTCTGCCTGCCCTTTGATGTTGCATTACTATGTTGTATTACAGCCTTTCTCTCACTTAACTTTATGTCAGGGTTGCTCTCCTATAAACTGCAATGTCTATGTGTACAGGACAAAATAAAAAAAATATTAAGTGCACAGGGGTGAAAGATGAAACATCCCTCTGTGCCCAGGAATCAGGCACCATGTGTTCCTTCACGTTCTCTTCCTTCAGAAAACCTCCCCTGCATTGTACAACAGAGCAAGGATGCCAGCCAGCCTACTTGGCAACGTTCCTAATAGTGCTCAGCGTGTGGGCATTCTCAACACTGGAGTGTTAACACCTGCCAACTCCTGGTTAGGTGGAAATGTCTCTATTAGCAGCAGACTCTGCTTGTGGCAGTGATCAGAGGACTGACCCCAAGCCCGTCCTTCAGCAAAACCCCTCATTTTACCAGGCATGACGTCTCCTGACGTAACCCTACTCCTGCGCTGCTGTCAGCCCACACAGGCAATCTTGCTCTGGAGCACTGCGGCACCTCCCTCGTGCCTCTCCTATTGGGGCCGTTCAGAAGGTTTTCTTGTCATTTCCAAAACACTGCCATCGGAGACCCCCGTTTCTTCTGGATTCCGATAACTAAATCCATGAAAAAGCTTGCAACATTTGGAACAGCTCAAAAAGCTTGCAACACTTTTGTCACCAAATCCACTGTCATTGCAGATGTTTTCATTCCTACTGTAAAGAAAAGAGGTTGGTGGTTCTTTTGCATAACAATAGCCTTAGCTGTGTCTTGGTGGAATATTTATGTTGGCGTAGAAGACCAGCGTGCCTCTCAGGGCTTATCTAGACCTCATTTGGACTTATCATCTTATTTTATCTAGCCCTAGTGTTTCGCTATCTCTGTGATGCTCATTTTTGAGATCACAACAAAGCTCGCTTTGGATGCAGCACTGGCGTCCTTTGGGAATACAAGAACATAAGAAAGACTGCAAATGAGAGGAATCCATTCGGCCCGTGTAGCTCAATTGTTCAATAGCAGCTAATCGATCCAAGAATCCCATTCAGGTGGGCAGCGCAGTGAACAGCACGGGGACCCTGAGGGCAAGGGGTGCTCTCCGCATGGAGATTGTATGTGCTCTCCGAGTTCGTGTGGGCTCTCCCTGGGTGAAAAAGAGGCAGAACTTGAATGAGAGGACACAAGGACACCATGGAGACAACATGAAAAGAGGAGGCGCTTTTTCACGCAAAGGGTGTGTGGAAAAAGATCACTTTATTGGCCATATACAATTTCTTGTATCAAAAATGTGTTGTCTCTTTTCACATACCCCAACTTGCTCTCCACGAGACACACAGACAGGGAGAGAAGCTTGGGGTCAGACATTTATACAGCCCCCCTGGAGCAGCTGGGGTTAAGGGCCTTGCTCAGGGGCCCAAGGGAGTAGGATTCCTCTGCCAGCCACAGGATATGAACTGGCAACCTTCCAGCCTCAGGCACAGATCCTTGGCTATAGAGCCACCACACCGCCCCCCTCAGCTGCCCAGCCATGCCATTGAAGCTGATTCCCCAAAGTCTTTTGAGACAGGGCTGGATGAGATCTATCCAGCCACCCATTTTCTCACTGCCTTATCCAATACAGAGCTGCTGTATAAATAATATACAGTATACTTTGCTTTTCAGAACTCTGCGTTCTGTAATTCGTTCGTAATTTACTTACTGGTCTATAATAACGCAGTTTGTTTTTACCCTATTTTGTTATGAATGGCTGCTGAATTAGCAATTTTCCAATCAGGGGTACTACCCTGGTCTTAAGAGACTGTTGAAAGACTAATGAGACACTCAGGCCTCCCAAATATATACAGTATTAAATCACAAAAAAATACAGTAAAAAAAATCTTTGTGAATTTCCCATTTTGCACATATAGGTTACTGTTATGTTTATATTACCTGCATGTAAAACCCATCTGCAT